GAAATTATTATTATTTGAATATAGTAAGTTAATAAATTATTTATATTGTATTATAATATAATAATTTAATAAAACATTAATTATAATAATCTCAAATAATATTTCTTTATTGTATTATATTCATTAAGATTTCTATTTATTTCTATTTATTATATTAATTGATTTATTATTTTGTTTTATTTATTTCACTTTTACTTTTTTATACTTTATAATCTTATATCATATTATTTTTATTTTGTTTAAATTTATTTAAATTTAATTTAATTTAAATGCACTCTATTATGACAATTTTTATTCTTTTGTTTTAGTTTATTTTTAATTTAATATTATATATTTTATGTTATAATATTTTACTTATTATAAGTTTATATCTTATTATTATAATTGAAAATTTATATATACTTCTAAATTTAATTTGATTTATTCATACCTGGTGTCTATATATATTAAGCTATACTAAATTTGACACACAACTTGGAGTGGTGTAGTGGTTATAATGCTCATTTACAACTTGGAGGTCCCAAGTTCGAACCCTTGCGTCGCTAAAATTTTTTATTTCCACTCAGCATCCAAATCAGCATAGAAGCGCCACGTCAGCATAAATTGCCACGTCAGCAGCCACGGACTCACAACCATTTCAGCATAAAAGTGCCACATCAGCATAAATTGCCACGTCAGCAGCCATACCAGCATAAATGGCCCGAAATTAGGCCCTGTGCTTCGAATTGCCAAAAATTGACAAGGTGGTGCTATGTTTGCCAAATTCCAAAAGTTTGGTTAAAACGGCAAAAAGTTGTAAGGTCGTGGTTTTACCGGCAATTAGGCCTATTAAGAATAGTGAAATTGAGAGTTCAAGTTGAGTTAGATTTTGAGTATGAATTAATTTGGATTGAGTAATTTAGTTTACAAACACACTCTTATTGTAAAAAATAAAAAAAAATAAAAAAAAATCTCTTGTGATGAAATACAAAAATCGTCTTTCTCAATTAGAGGTGCAAACAAGTCGAGTGCAGTAGAATATGAACCTTGTAGTGCAGATCGGACTTTTTTCTTTAGTGCTTGAGCCATATAAAATGGTGCTTGATTCGACTTGTGAAAAAAAGGAACACTTAAGCTCGATTTGATGCTGAGATCGACTCGTTGCTCGACATGGTTCGAGTTCGGTTTAGAATTTTAACAACTAAAATTTAAATATGAGGTACTATTTTTAGTATAAATAGTTTATTTTGGCCTTTATGTTTTAATATTGATAGTTAAATAAATATTTATGTAAATACAAAGTCGAGCGACGAGCATAGGAACCTCTTGAAATGATGCTCGACGTTTGACTCGCTTGTTCGATTAAATTGCACGAGCTTGAGTTTTGCCGAACCTTAAGTTAAGCATAGACTCGAGCACTCGTAAACCGCTCGCGACTAGGACTACAAACAAGTCGAGCAGAGTCGAGCATTAGCTTTATCGAGCATAATTGATTGTTTTTTTAGCTACTCGAGCTCGACTCGAAATCAAAATGCTCGAGCTCAACCTAAATTTTTTAAGTGAAAAGTAAAATTACCATTAACAAACTATGTTATAATATTGTAATATATATATGCAATAGATATTTTAGTAATTTAACATATCTCGAGCCGCCCGACAACGCAAAATATAGGCTCGACTCGAGTTCATGCTCGAACCGCTCAAGCTCAACTCGAATTCGGTCAAACTCAAGCTCGAGTCGGGCGTTCGCAAGCGGTTCACGAGCCGCTCGATTGGTTTGCAAGTTGGAACGCTCGCAACTGACTCGTTTGCGGCTCTGAGGGCCCCCGACTCACCCCAACAAAGCAACTAGCCACTGTACACACAAATAAAACTATATATTCACCACAATAAACCCTAGTTCCAATCTCTTTTTTTCACTTGCGTCGCCCAACTTCTCTGCAGCTTACGGCCTCTTTCACTCCGGAGGTTGGTTATACTCAATTATTCTCTTGAAACCCTTTTGATATATAACATCTTCAAGTTAAATTCTACTATCGAGAACCTGCAAATTTGCTATTTTTTAGATATTTGTTTATTACAATCATGTTTATATTTTTTTTTTTTCAGTATTTCGAGGATTTATAGAGTGAAAGGATCGATCTTGTGAAACAATGGCTCTGGTAAGTGTGTCATTTCTTCCGCGGATTTTCTATGTTTCAGATCTGTTATTAGTTTAGTGAAGCATGTAACTGTAATTGGCTGTTTGTGGGTTCTGCGATTTATGCATTTGCTCTTACCGCGGAATTTCATGTTGCATTGATATATTGACGTTGTTACTCTGGCTCGTGGTTTACTAAATTCTTGATCTTTCTGTGTCTCGTTTACTGTTGATATATTTTTGTGTAATTGGAAGCTGGGTTCTGTTACTGGTTTGCGTCCTTCTGGATTGGGGCTTTTGTGACGAATTTTTACTTTTGTTGGGCTCCTTGTTATTTTATATCAAACTCAAGTTAAATGTTTGTTTGCGTTCTCTCTCTCTCTCTCTCTCTCTCTCTCTCTCTCTCTCTTTCTCTCTCTCTCTTTTCCTTTGTCTTTGTATGAGTGTGTGACGTTGTGGGTTATGCTATATTTTCCATATGAGAGATTTGTAGTTTGTCCTGAAACCAAATAAAATTATCCGTTTAAAAGATGTGAAATTTCTTAAAACGAAGCTGGACCGATGACAACTTTCCTTGTGCTTTTGTTATCTTTGTTTTTGAACCTTAAATGTATTCTACTCAGGTTCTGCATTCCTCTGAGAACAAAAATGCATTCAAGGCACTTATTGCGGCGGAGTACTCTGGTGTAAAGGTTGAACTGGCAAAGGATTTTCAGATGGGCGTGACAAATAAGACCCCGGAATTCATCAAGATGAATCCTATTGGGAAAGTATGAACAAATAATTGCACATTATCATTCTTTTGAATTTATGCAAAATCTTTGAGGTTTTTCATTGATTTCAAGATTTATCTCCCTAGATTCCTGTGCTGGAAACACCCGATGGTTGTATTTTTGAAAGCAATGCAATTGCACGCTATGGTAAAACTAACTTCTCACTGGTTCTGTTATGATTTGATCCATTAATATAATTTGCTTTGACAATTTTCTTGCTTATATTTATTCAGTGGCTCGATCGAATCCTGATAGCCCCTTGTATGGGTCATCGTTGATTGATTATGTAAGTCAACTGCTCTATGGCTTCTACAGATGGAATTGCTCATTTATCATTATATATATATATGTGTGTGTGTGTGTTTGTGTATTCTTTTCCACTTATTTTGATTGTAATTGTTCATTGGATCTCATAGGGTCACATTGAGCAGTGGAATGATTTTTCTGCTACCGAAATTGATGCTAACATAGCATCATGGTTATACCCAAGGTTTGGATTTCGTCCACATATTCCACAGGTCTGTAAAACTTGTCCCAGTGTTTGCTCAACCCTTATGTTTATATGAAAGTTAATGAAATTCTTGAAAATCTTGCTTACTTTTGTTTAAAAAATTCGTTTAATCAAGTTCACACTCTAAATCTTTGTCCTATTATTACTATTATTATCATGTTATCACAATTATTATTATTATTATTAGTAGTAGTAGTAGTAATCACTCATCTCTCTCTCTCTCTCTCTCGATATCTCGATATATTATTATTATTATTATTATTATTATTCGTAATCTTGCAGACTTTTTCCTAAAAATTTCATATAATCAAGTTCACTTTCTAAATCTCAGTCCTATTATCACTACTAGTATTACTATTAATCATTCATCTATCCCCCCCCCACCCTCTCTCTCTCTCTTTAATATATATAGGCTGAGGAAGTTGCAATCGCTAATCTAAAGAGGGCTTTGGGAGCTTTGAACACTCACCTTGCCTCAAACACCTACTTGGTTGGGCACAGTGTCACACTTGCAGACATTATTATGGTCTGCAACCTTGCTTTTGGATTCAAGATGGGCTTTACCAAGAGCTTCACCTCTGAGTTTCCTCATGTAGAGAGGTATTTCTGGACATTGGTCAACCAGCCCAACTTCAAGAAGGTATGGGGTGAAGTCAAGCAGGCTGAGTCCGTCCCCCCTGTTGCGTCCAAGAATCCAGCCCAGCCCAAGGAGGCTGAAAAGCCCAAGGCGAAGGAGGCTAAGAAAGAGGAGGCAAAGCCCAAGGAAGTAGCAGCTGAGGCAGAGGAAGCTCCCAAGCCCAAGGCTAAAAATCCATTGGATCTGTTGCCTCCGAGCAAGATGATTCTGGACGAGTGGAAGAGGCTTTACTCTAACACCAAGACCAACTTCCGTGAGGTTGCAATCAAAGGTATGTTTTTTTTTTTTTTT